TTCGAAGTATATACTGTAGTCATCTGTAACGCTACAGTTATTTTTGGTACATTTACAGTTATTTATAATACCTATAGCTTTTCGTTATACTACCGTACTCAACGACTCAATGTTGAGTGTGGTCCTCCGTTGCGCATCGCCAGTTTCTGTTCCGACGTTTTTAACTTTGATTGGCAATTCGAATGCGTTGTGGGAAGTATGTGTTTTCGCGATTTGTATGCGTTTTGAATCGAGTAAAACCGAATCGGACGAAATGGAGCCTGAATGTGGGAGTCCCGGTATTGTAAGATGACATACTTCTGCTCGTACGTGTACCTCGAGTATTTGTACTCATTGGGCTTGCGCCGCGTGGGTCGAGGCATGTCGTCAAATTTTCTGTGATTGGGTGTGGTGTTTCAGATTTCAAAACCCTTCGTCATTTTCAAATATCGCTCCACTACGTGGATATAATATATAAAAGGGTATGCATATCTGGAGGGATCACCAATGAATCAAATCAACATTTTAGAGGTTGCCAAACAGTGTACCACACTCAACATTGAGATACGGTTCTCTGGTACGGAATAAATGCTGCATGTTTTTCACTTGATTAAAGTATACTCAGTGCTTTGAAACATCTTGCGATTTGTATTGGACTTTGAAATGACATCAAGACCGACCAAATTTTTATTGGAAACGTTTATTTTATTACTTATACTTGATTTTGACAATTCAAGGAGTCAAGTGCGCCTGCATAGATGGTTGCATCGCACTCAACATTGAATGATGGTAAGTCCTTAATTCTGGCGTTCTTACTCATGTGGGGCATTGTGTGCCTCCATTACATCCCATCGACAGCTCCATTACTTTCTGTAAAGTTATGACTGTCTTGCCCAGGATGGTAACTGGCAATTCATAAAACGCCTCTTCCACAGCAGCAAACAGCTCGCCAATTGACCGAGCGACCTTTTGCGGCTGCAGACTTTGAATAGACTTATAGAATTCTAAGTCTAGGACGTTGAAGACAGGGCTATTTGGTGGCTGGTTGGCAACTTCAATGCTGTCAACGCCATGATGAGCAATGAGCTCGGTCGTCACACACCTATGGGGGCTTGCGTTGTCTAGCTGCAACTTGACAACCACACCCCTTGGCATCTTGACTTGGATCTCTGGCACGACCTCTTTCATGACCATGTCTTGATACACGTCAGCGTTGACGCTCTGGGACGCCAGCTCGAGCGTGTCTTTGGGACGATTCTTGCTTGAACGAACCGCCGCCACTTCCTCGACGAACGGCCAAATGCCGATCTTGCCGTCGAATATTTGCTTCTTGTGCGGGTCGTATCGTGGGCGGACAACGGCCGCCAGAAATATGACCTTGGTGATGAATTTCTTCGACTTCGCGGCCCGCTCTGCCATCTCTTCGTCGTCATAATAGGGATAGAACCTTCGCTTGGCCACTTCTCATCAGCATGTACAAAATTGTACATGGTGATGAAGGAGTGGTTTCGTCGTAACCCAGGCTGAACGAAGCTGACTGCGAACCATAACCGTTCCAACATGTTGTCGTGCGTCAGCAACGGCTACAGCTATCTTGTGCGCGCCGTGAGGCCGTGGGGCTCCTTCATGTGCCGCAAAATGGCGGTCTTCGGAATGCCAGACAAAGCTGCGGTGGAGCGGAGGGTTTGGCGACCTTCGTGTGGCACAGCCTTGATGGCCATCTTGATGTCGATTGCCGACCGGACTTTCTTGGCACCACAATTGCCTAAACTCGTAAACCCGTATAAGTTAATTTCTGCAGAAAGGAATGTGTTTGGGCAAAATATAGATTGTTAGAGAAT